CGCCAATCCAATTTCCACTCTTGCCCCTTTCTTTTTTTTTTTAATTTTTAATTTTTTTTAAAGATTTTATTTTTTTATTTGACAGACAGAGACCACAAGTAGGCAGAGAGGCAGGCAGAGAGAGAGGAGGAGGAGGAAGCAGGCTCCCCACCGAGCAGAGAGCCCAATGCAGGGCTCAATCCCAGGATCCTGGGATCATGACCCGAGCCAAAGGCAGAGGCTTTAACCCACTGAGCCACCCAGGCACCCCCCTTTTAAAAAAATATTTTATTTATTTATTTGACAAAGATCACAAGTAGGCAGAGAGGTAGGCAGAGAGGCAGGCAGAGAGAGGGGAGGAAGCAGGCTCTCTGCTGAGCAGAGAGCCCAATGGGGCTCGATCGCAGAACCCTGGGATCATGACCTGGGCCAAAGGCAGAGGCTTTAACCCACTGAGCCACCCAGGCACCCCTCTTCACCCCTTTCTTGATTGGCTGATGGACACACCCACTTTGGAACAATCAGGACAGCCAGCAATGAAGACTCCAGGTTCAGGAATATAGAATTTCATGCAGCAAGTGTCCAAGGTTCCATCCCGTCCAGCTAAGAAGATGGCAATCGCTGGATGTCACCCTGCCAAGCTGTCCTATCCTCACCCATGGGTGTTGCGTGGGCACCAAGAATTTTCTGGGCAGGTTCCACTCAGCAATGCTGGGAGGGCTCCAGTGCTTGGATGCCAAGATCTGAGATGCATAGGCCTGAGACCCTCAAATGTCCAGAAGTGGGGCCCTGGCATCTGATCCTGACTTGGAATGAGCCGGAGCACTGGGCTGGTCCAAAGGCAGGCCAGTGGCTCTGGCTGAGAGGTGGACAGCAAGAAACTCACCCAGGCTGGCAGCACATCAGGGATAAGCGAGGATGCCGAGGAGCCCGGCACTATATGTAGCCCAGCTACTCAGTCCCCCAAATGCAAGTCCCTAAGTTCTCAGGAGACAGCAAAGCATGATGATTCAAAGCTTGGGAGTTTTGGTCAGTTGCCCTGGGCTCAAAGCCCACCTTGGTTATTTCCTTTCTTCTGGCAAGGTTTTCCCTCTGGGAATAGTTTCCTTATCTTTAAAATGGGTTTACCTCCTTGGGTCATCATAAGGATTTCGAGAAACAGAGCCTGTCATCAGCCCATCTGTGGAAGTAATGATTGCTGCCCAGCTGTCTAGTATTTGTTCCCAGGGCCCTAAGACCCAGAGCTCTTGTCTTCCTTTCCCTTTCTAGCTTCATTCTTGTTCTTTGGAACAGCCATCCAGGGGATGTGGACCCTCCCAATGGCACGATCGTGCTAGCCCAGGGTAACATTCAACAGCTGAGTCAGCGGGGGGATGTTTTTAATGTAGGGCATAGGTTTTCTTGGGGTGTCTGTGTAGTGCCATCCCAAGCAGAGGGTGAGACCACCTTGAGCCTCAAGAGCCCTTTTATCCTGGCAACTCTATGAATTCACAAATTCCATATTACTGTCATCGCAGGGCTATCACTGGCGGCTTCAAAACGAGCAAGTTCCTTGCAGGGAGATGTGCGGTACAGGCAGCACATACCACCAGGGGGCGCTGCCTGGCTGCTCTCCCGCGCGCGCTCTCTCCCACACACACACACACACACACACACACACATTTTCCAAGGAGGCTGAGGGAAGGCAGAATCAGGAGCCTTGGGATGCAAGTTTACCCTGAGCCTGGGGGTCTATGGGCAGATAGCCTGGGCCTTGAAGATCTGCCACCTGGTGGGCTGGGAATGACATTAACAGGGACCCTCCGCATCACTTGGGCCCTTTACCTTTTGCCTCCTGTTCCATTCCATCTTATGACGCATTCCATCTTATGACTAAGGGGATAATGCCCAGAAAATGAGCATCATGGGATTCCAGCGATCTTCTCTAGTTTGGGGGACATCCCGTGAGGAGCTCAGACAGCATGAGTGGAGCCCTTGATACTCAGCCAACATAGGTGCTTTCCCTGGAGCACAGCCTGATTTTTCAGTCCTGCCAGTGACTTCCAAGCTGGCCACCCCAACTAGCTATAGAAACCCCAACCCACAACTGTTCCCTGAGTCTGGGGACAGATGCTGGGATGCCAGGAGCCCAGGAGGTCTGCAAACAGGAGGTGCCTAAGGCCACTACTCACTCTACACGGTCACTATGGGCAAAGCTGTACCCGCAGCCTCATGTAAGCCCCGTGACTGCCCTATGAGGCACAATAGCATGATCTCTATTTTGTAGGTGAGGACTCTGAGGCTTAGAGAGCACCCCTGCTGCTCTGGGTGAGGGTGGGGTGCCTGGTTTTGCTCCCATGTCTGCCACCGACTAACTAGATGCGCAAGGAAAGGGCAAGCACGGATCTTAGCCTCTGCTTGAGTTCTGGAGAATGTAAAGGACAGGAGAGCTGGCTGTCCTCCAGCAAAGGTCTCCTGAGCACCAACTCTTGGAGACAGGGAGGAAGGAGACTGTGGGCTTTCAGGAGCTCACAAACTAGGGGGTCAGCCAGGTCCTCAATGGAGGACAGATTGCTGTCAGACTTGTGAGCAAGACTATGCAGAGGCCAGCAAGGGCGACAGGGGGTTGTGGGGGTCGGCCCAAGTTTACAGGAGGAAGGGACACTGCAGCCAGTCATCAAAGGGTGAGGAAGAGTGTGCTCCGCAGAGGGGAGATGTGGGAGACCTGTGAGCAAAAGCCAAGGTGTTAGGGTCCCGGGACTGGGTTGGGGAGACAGCAGATGAACAAGGGCTCCTCTCTGGAGCACACCCTTGGTCTTACAAGAGAGAAGGAAGGTGCGGGAAAATGCTGGGTGTGCATGGAGGGGCGTGCCTCAGGAGGCGCATGCATTATGAAGAGTCCTCTTGGTGGAAAAAATGAGGTTCAGGATTTACTATAGTCAGAAAACTGCTTGCCTCCGTGAGTGTGAACGTGTACACATGAGCGTGCCTTTGAAGCGTTAGGTCAAAGTCATTTTAAATCTCCAATCTCTTTTTACTTTTCCAACTACCCTGAGAGGTTGGCTAGACAGAAATATCCTTAAGGACAGAGGAGAAAACAGAACTGAGTGGGATGAAATGTCTGGCCTATGGTCATGAGGCTCAATGGTTGAAAACCCAAGGTCTATCATGGGCTCCTGGCCCCAGCTCTGTGCTCCTGCCCCAGACTTCATCTGGACTACCATCCTATCTCCCAGGACCCTGCATGCCACAGGCCACCACGCCACCTGCCCCCTCCTGCATTTTCACAGGAGAAGCCCCACCAGGGAGCAGAAGTGAAGGACTGAAACAGAAAGATGAGGTCCCACTGGCTGCACAGGCCAGAGCCCAAGACCAGGGTAGAGGGTCCATCTTCTTCTCCCAAACTGCTCCATGTGCCCGTCATGGTCTTTAGGAGGAACTGCCGCAGAGAAGGGACCCAGGAGGGGTGAGGCCCTGTGCTGGTCCTCCAGGGCAGACTTGGGGAAATGGGCCTTGTGTAAGAGCTCCCTAGTTTGACCTCTTCTTTCCAGAATCTCCAGAGGGCTGGCACTGAGGATCGAAGGTCTGGAAAGTGGACCTCTGCTCCCTGCCCATGCTAGTGGGCATGTGCAAAGCTCTCCCTTAGCACCAGGCCCGGCTCTGAGCGCTGGCACACATACTCTCAATTTCCACCCCCCTCCAGGGGAAGGTTCGATTGTTACCTCCCTTTTACAGCCGAGGAAAGGGAGGCACAGAGAGGTGCAGTGACTTCCCAAGATCACTCAGTTTGTAAGTGGCAGAGCTGGGGTTGAACCTAGGAAATCTGCCTCTAGGAGGTACTCTGTCCCTGTTATTAGTAACATTCAGAAGCAGAGCCATCATTTGACCAGTACCTCCTGTGTGCCCGGGGTTTAGCTGCTCACAGCAGCAAGCCTGGGACTTAGGCCCTATGCTGTGTGCACTTCTCATTTCATAGATGAGCAAATCCGGGTTTAGCAGGCCTCCTGGGGTGAGGTGCCTTCAGAATCTCACGGATGCCAGGTCTACCTGAATCCAAAGTGTCTACCCTCCCCAGCCTCTCTGACTCGCAGTGTGAGTGGGGAAACACATGCCTTTTCTGAGCCTCAGTTTCCCTAGAGCCTAGGCCTTCTACTCCCGGCCTCCCTGCTCCAGCAAGTGACCAGTGGGTGGGGTTGTGGAGCTGTGGCAGTGAGGGTCTGGGCAACTCAGGGCCTTTCCCTTCCCCCAGCAGGCCCCCTCATCTTCCCCCTCGCAAAAGTCCCCGCTCCGTTTTTTTCGTTTTTGTTTTTGTTTTTTCTCAGTTGGTGATTTGGGACGGGGAGGTGCTGGGTGCAGAAGGTCCCTCAGAGGTCAGCTAGGCTGGGTAGAGAAGGCCCAGCTCGGATCTGGGGAAGGGCCGAAGGGCCCAGAAAGCCACGTGCTCGGGGTAGTCCTGAGGGGGAGCGGACGGTCCTCTAGGGAAAAGAGAAGCGCCCCGGACTTGAGGAGGGGCGGGGAGGGAGAGTCAGAGGAGGCAGGTTCTGGACAGAAGGGATGGGGGTGGGGGGAGGTAGAGAGGACGCGGACAAAGGAGGCGGCCGGCAGCCCAGCTGTTTTGAAAAATGCTTCCTGTTTCTTTAAAGGCGCTCGCGGCTCGGGCGGCCGGGGCTGGGGAGGCGGCGGCGGCGGGAGCTGCCTCCTCTCCGGGCGGCGGCGCTGACTGATCTCGCGAACTGGGCTTCTGTGTAAACTGAGGCTAAACAAACACAGATGGAGCGCAGCGGGCGTTCTCCAGAAATGCTGGCAAGGCGGCAGCGACTTCAGATGACACTCTGAGCGCTCCGGGAACGGACAGCCCGGCGGCTTCGCGGAGCCGGCGGCGCAGCTGCCCCGGGCGAGGGGGAGAAAGGGAGGGAGGAGGGCGGCGCGAGCAGGGGGGAGAGCCCGAGACTCCCAGGCGCTGAGCGCGGCGGCCGCCCGGGCAGAGCCGGCGCGCAGCGTGCAGAGCGAGCGCGGCGGGCGCGCGGCCCGGGCAGCCCCACGACCCTGCCTCGCGCGCTGCCCGCGCCATGAAGCACATCCCGGTTCTCGAGGACGGGCCGTGGAAGACCGTGTGCGTGAAGGAGCTGAACGGCCTCAAGAAGCTCAAGCGGAAAGGCAAGGAGCCGGCGAGGCGCGCGAACGGCTATAAAACTTTCCGATTGGACTTGGAAGCGCCGGAGCACGGCGCCACCGCCACCAACGGGCTGCGCGACAGGACCCAGAGGCTGCAGCCGGTCGCGGCCCCGGTGTCAGCCCAGCTGGCGCCGGCTGTTCCTTCAGGTGGGGGCGCGGACCCGGCTGGGGAGCGCAGGGGCGCTCGGGCGCCGGACGTCTCCGACGCGCGGAAGCGCGGCTTCGCCCTGGGCGCAGTGGGGCCGGGACTCCCCACGCCGCCGCCGCCGCTGCCACCGCCACCGCTGCCGCCGCCTCCGGCGCCCCAGGGCCAAGTACCCGGGGGTCCCGAGGCGCAACCTTTCCGGGAGCCCGGCCTTCGTCCCCGTATCTTGCTGTGCGCACCGCCTGCACGCCCCACGCCGTCGGCGCCCCCTGCGCCCCCGGAGTCTTCCGTGCGCCCCGCGCCCCCCACGCGCCCCGGGGAAAGTTCTTACTCGTCAATTTCACACGTAATTTACAATAACCCCCCGGATTCCTCCGCGTCGCCTAGGAAACGGCCGGGCGAAGCGACCACCGCTGCCTCGGAGATCAAAGCCCTGCAGCAGACCCGGAGGCTCCTAGCGAACGCCAGGGAGCGGACGCGGGTGCACACGATTAGTGCAGCCTTCGAGGCGCTCAGGAAGCAGGTACCGGCTCCCAGCCGCACACCCTCACTGAGCCCGGGGACGGTTGCTGGAGTGGGTGGGTGAGTGGCGGGGAGAATTTAGGGAGGATGCGGGTGTGTGCTAGGAGCAAGTTATTCCCGCCCGGTTGGCCCAAGGGTCCAGACGGGTTTGAGCCCTCCTAGGGCAGTAACCTTCGCCACAGCTTTGGTACGGATCTTAGGGTGCAAAGTAGGGGCAAAGGGTCGAGATCTCTGGCCCAGGCACGACCGAGTTCTCCCGCCAACCCCCGGCGCGACCCTTCTGCGCGTCTGACTTTAGCCCTCATAGTTCACTTTTATGGCAACAAGTATTTGTCTTCCCGAGTCCCTTGGGCTAGGTGAAGAGTGGAGAGAGGGAATGTGGGAATCTTGTCTTCAGCGAGGAAGCGGTGGGCCGGAGGGTACACTTCGTCTTCAGGCATTTAGCGTGGTCTGGGTTTTGGGAGGCCTAAGATGCTGCAGAGGGGTGGCCCTGGTTTTGCCAGCCCCCCTTCAGCCTTTACCTCCCAGAAGGGATGCCCCTACACCCAGGCTGCTTTGGGGATCTGCTGCCCATCCCCTGGTATCCTTAAGGATCTGGGTTACAAGCCTACATCCCCTCCCCAGGGTCAGCCTCAGGATCTGGCTGGTGAGGGCCTTCCCAGGGGATTCTCCCCTGCTGCCTTTCACCTTATGGTGAAGCAGCAGGTTCTACTGACAAGACCTGTGGATTGGGGGACCTTCAGAGCCTAGTTTGGTGGTGGGTCAGGGCTTCTCAGTTTGGGGCTGGTGGGTGCCGCCCTCACCAGACAGCGTCCTCTAGGGGGTTGGAGAAGAACATTTATCTGAGAATTACCCGCAATGGGGGGGGCAGTTTTGCAATCACACTTTAAACAAGACTGGGACTGCCCTGGGGTTCTAGACTTCTCATTTTCTTAGAAAGAAGGGAAATCTAAGAAGAAGGTAGTACGTGCCCACTGCCCCCACCCCCAAAGGGAATGGGGAAGGATTGGTGTGGATGTGACAGGTTTGGATGGTCAGGTTTTTGCTTACTCTACAGCTGACTTCCTGTGTGACTCCAGGAAAGTTACTCAACCTCTCTGGCTTTAGCCAACAACAAAGCATTTTAGAAAACTGGATCTTCTTTCTGGATCCCACTTTCTTCTTCCTTCTGTGGGCAGAATGGACAGGTGCATGTGTCCATCCATGGGAAGGGAGTTGAGCTCCTGGGAAGAAAGAGACTCTATGACTTGGGCCAAAGTGTCTTGCTTGGGTTTGGGTAAGATGCTTGGTCAGGGAGGTGGCCAGCCATACCAGTTGGGACCCTGGGCAGTGGGCCAAGTGGAACATTCAGGCTTACTCTTGGGCAACAGCTCTGTGTCTGAATGCTTGGGGAGGGCAGCCTATAGAGCATCAGGCCACCCACGCCCAGGATGGAAGGCTGACAGCCTAGGCAGAAAGATGCCTTTCCACTGGCTTACCTTGCAACTAGGGAAGATTGGGGAGGCCACAAGCCAACGGCATCACAGCTGGTGGGTAGCCGGGTAAGGCTGACACCTAGGTCCTCTGACTGCCAGTTCAGGGCCCCTTTTGTCCCTCTGGCTGCCTCTTTCATTTCCGAGAAAGTGTCCTGGTCTCTGTGTAGTCAGCTCCACTAAACATCTCATTTACCCAGTGGTTTTTGCTTCTTTCAGTCATATTCTACCTTGCTTGATCTTAACATCCCGTCAGGTTGAATTACCCCAGTTAATGGAATGGAAAACTGAGGCCCAGAGAAAGAAGAAAGGAGACTTGTCCAAGATCACCTAGTGGGTTAGGGAAGATGACAGCAGTTTCTGGAATGCCTGTCTGGCCAAATGTGTCCCACAGTGCCCTCTGTATCTGTCATGTTTATTAACAATCGGAAGCTGGTTTACCCATGACTGGATCCGAGAGGAAATTATTTAAATCCTGGTCTCCTTTCACTTCTCCCCTTTCTGTGGGGCAGTTCTACATAAAAAGGACAGATTCGGGGACGTACCTATGCCTGTACACATGGTCATTACCCGTGCCCAAGAGCACACACAACACATGGCCACAGAGGTGCCTGCCCCTGTTTGTTTCCTCATTGCTCATTCTGTTCCTTCCCCGGAAAGCTGCTGGGTCAGAGTGGGCATCTGCCTGCTGTCTGCCACGGAAGGAAATGTAAGTAGGGCACTGGTGATCTCCGAGCTGGGGGCTGAGGCCACACAACCACAGCTCCCATCCATGGAGAAAATCCTCTGACCTGAAGGAGCTCCTTCCTCCTCTGGGCCTCTGTTTCCCGCACGTTTAAGAGGCACATGCGAGTACACTTGTGCACACATACACGCTCACACACCCCAATCCAGACAACCTGTAGCCCTGGATCTAGGCTCAAGTTTGACTGTTTGAAATGGGCCCTTGGCAGAGAATGGAAAAGCAGAAGGACGATTCTGCCTGAAATGAAGGCTTGACCATCATGGCACCAAGATCAGTTCTGGGATTGTGACTCTGGTCCAGGGTTTTTTTTTTTTTTAACCTGAGCAGCTTCCTGATGGGGTTAAAAGAGCACTGGGCAAGTAGTCCAGAGGGCAGGGTCTGAGTCATGGCTCTGTTGCCTCCTTTCTGCCTAACCAGGAAAAGTCACTTTCCCTCTCTGGGGCTTCAGTTGCTAAAGCTGGAAAATGACCATAAGTCGTACCCCGTGCCCCCCCCCCCCCATAGCTTCTTTGCAAAGAGCAAACGAAGAATGGAATTGGGGCTGTAGGAGGAACAAATATTCCTTGAGCATTCGTAGTGTCCGTAGTGCCAGGCAAGGCCTTGAGCGATGTGGAAATAAACATTCTGTAATCATTTTAATAACAATCATAGGAACTACCGTTTATCAGATACTTGCTTTGTGGCGAGCACCGTGTTGGGCGTGTTATGTGTGTTAGTTCATTTAATGAAATGGGTGTAATTATTATCCTCTCCCCATTTCATAGATAGTGAAACTAAGGTTCAGAAAGCTTACCTAAGTTAGTCGAGGTCTCACAGCCTTCGCGGCTAGTGCACGGGGCCTTGTGGGTTCTGTACTGCCTGGCTCCTCATCCCACCATTCGCGGGATGTGGGTGTGCTCTGCCTCCAGGGCCTGGAGCCGTCAGGGCCTGCATAGCTGTGTGTCACTGTCACTGTCCAGCCTGGATTCAAATCAGAGTCAGTGAGTCACTCCAAAGCCCAGGCTTTTAAGAGCTCTGCTTCTCGGCCTCTTGAATGCCCCGCAGCTGTCCACCCTCAGCACCCACCCACCAGGAAGCCTTCTGTTTGGTCCAACCCACTGTGCTCTTAACTGGGAAGGGAAGAGAGGGAGCTGTTTGGCCACGGAAGTGCAGGTGGGGAAGAGGCCCTCTGGTCTGGTGGAGGGGGGAATGTGTGGGGCAGATGGTCAGGCCACAGCACATGCCACCAGCCCAGCTGCGTAGGGCCCTCCCTGCTGCCTCATGTGAAGGCCATGTGTGCACAGCTGGGCCTGGCCCGTGTGCGGGGCTGCTCCAGGGCCGGTGGGAGGGGGTCGAAAGGAAAGTCTGGCCTTGCTGGGGGGACGGGGGGGGATAGGGGAGAGGCCAGCATCCTGGCTTTGGCCTCCGGATGACACATTGGGACATCTGGTGTGTGTGCAGCTTTCCTCCTTCCCCTCAAAACTTGAAGCCCCTCAGCTTTGAAGGAGGAATGGTGGCCTTGCAAGGCTGAGGCCAGAGGAGGCTGTGAGGAGCCCTCAGGACCTGCTGAGGTGACTCTTTAGGAAGTGGGTGCCAAGCAAGTTGGGCCTGGGCCCCCATCTCTGCTGTCCTTGGAGTCTCCTGGGGGATCCTCACAGAGGGAACTCACGATGGACTATGAGGGGGGATGGGGTGGTGCCCCCAACCCTGCCCTTCCCTCAGTCACAGACCTCACAGCCTGCCAGGGGCCCATGACCCCACAGCAGCCAGTGCACGCCTCCCCAGGGAATGGGGACAGGCCTGCTTTGGGGACTCCATCCACATGGTTGAGGGGTGAAAGAGGCGTCCACTCTGCTCCCTCAGGACCACTCACCACAGTGGCTCATTACTGAGCCTCATTGCACTGGGGGAGGTGCCCTACCTGAGCCTGTTGTTACGTGTCTTTATGGTCCCCTTTCCAGGCCTGTGTGGCCCTGGGGCCGTGGCTCACAAATACCAAGACCCAGGTTCTCAAGGTCCAGCCTCATGGCTGTGTGGAAAAGGGATTTTAGAGAAACTATTTCGGTAGAACTCGACAAGGACCTTGAACAGCTCTGCACCAAGGGGTTTCACCCCAGGAAGCCAGCCCTCACGCGGACACGAGAGGTTAGAGAAGACGTTCCGGTAGAATCGGGCGCTCAGCGGTGGGTCGTGCCCACAGTGCTGTGGAGCTCTGCAGACCCAGGAGTCCCGACAGGCTTCCAGGAGGGCATTGTGGCAGGATCTGAAGCAGGGGATGGCTTTGAGCACTTCGCTGCATGGGCTGGTAGCTTTTCGGCGCTGTTTCTCTGTAGCAACTGCCTGGGTTTGCTTCCCCACATCCCCTTCTCAGGTCGTGGGGACTTTGGTCATTTTGTTGGTAAGAAAGCTGAGATCCTTTAAGGTCATAGGGGACCTTGTGACAATCCCTACACCTGGTCCTCTGAAGCTTAAAAATCCTTATGGCACGGGGTGAGCACAAGGCAAGTCCTTTTACTTTCCTAGAAGTTGGGCAGTGTTAGGAATAGAAGACACGTGACCGTGCTACCTCCTTTGCCCTGTGTCCTTTGACTAGTGGAGCAGACCGCTGCTGAGGGGGTCCTCTGCAGGTGGTGGGGCGGCTGGTCATGCCCAAAGGCTAAAGGCCCATGGGATCATCAGTCCAGAACTCTCCAACCCCAGGTCAGAAAGGTGGGCTGCCTATCCCCCGAGGGCTATAAAGGCTTATCCAAATCCACAAGCTGTTGCTTCCAACTAATTGGAAAGAGCCCAGCTAAGGCATCGGATGCTTCTCTGCAGAGTGGAAAAGATCATTTCTACCTCACTGGGCTGTTTAAAGATAAATATAGGCATTGTATTAAAAATACCCTTAGTAGGTCACATAAGCAGCCAGGGGTGGCCTGGGTACCCAGACATTGTTGTTCCCACTCTCCAGATGAGGAAACAAAGGCCCAGAGAACCAAAGGCACCTCCCAAAGTTGCTGGAAGTGCCTGCGCTTCAGACCAGCTCCTTCCACCCTTCTCCACCTCCCAGAACTAGGATCTGCTGCTGGACTCTCACTTTGTGGGGGCTGGGCCAGGACTCTCACTTTGTGGGGGCTGGCCAGGCCAGGGTGCTTCTGAACTGGGCTTCTGGGGGCACAGGACTGCATCCTAGGGAATGGGTACCAGGAGGGTCTGGAGTTAACCAGGTGAGCTGAAGAGTACCTCCCACCCAGGGAAGGAGGATGAGGAGGGGGGTGGAGCCACCCAAAAGTTGCCCTTGGCGTCCTACATGTGGCCACCTGTGCTGGAGGGAGTCTAGGGAGCTCAGTGGCCATGAACCTTCCTGGACTACTAGACAGACAAGCTCCTGGCATAGCTTCAGGTCTTAGTTCAGTGAGCTGGGGCCCAGGATGTCCACCTCTCTTTATCTTCGTGTGCAGATGGGATAACCGTCTTTATTTGGGGGAAGGTTTTAAATGGGACAGAGTGACAAAACTTGGCCCAGACCCTGGACTGGAGCCCCTAGGTTGGTTGGCCACATCTGTTGCTCTGTAATCCTGCAATGACCCTGGCTTCTCATGCTCAGATCCTTCCCAAGATCCCTGGTGCCCACTGGCAGGAAAGCCCATCTGTTCAGGGGCCAAGGGCTCAATGAGCCAGGTAACTCCCAGTGTAGCCCCTGGGAAAACACCAGGAGGGACCTGTGTCACGGAGCTATGCCCAGTCCCCAAGGGCCTCTGGCAGGTAGGCACTCCCTCCTGGGTGCTGGGTTGGCTCTTGAGACACCCCCCTTCCCCTGTGCCAGGACTCCAGGGAACCTTTCTGTCCCACTAACCTTGTTTATTTGTTCATGCTGATAAAGCAGGATCTCTGGACTCTGGTTGGGAACAGGCAAAGTGCATTGTTCTGCCAGCTTTTCTCGGATGGGTTTGGAGCCACAGCCGGGATTGGGGGGTAGGCGGGGGGGGTGGGCACTGCACAGGAGGCGGCATTCTCTCCATCACCAGCCTGCCCCTCCTTCAGTTTCCTAGTCCAGTGAGTGGCAGCTCTGTGGCTGCTGGAAGATTTTAAAAGGGGACAGCAAACCTTGCCTCTGGTGTGGGGGCCATTTCAGGAGCCCAGCTGGTGGGGAAGGGGCGGTGATAAGCAGGCATCTTGTCGTGCTTCTCACCTGCTCCAGAATCCTGCCTCGGGGACCTTCTGCAGCCCCGCTCTTAAGGACTCGCTGACTTACCTCGGGCCTCACTCTCTGCGGTGTGCCTGTGGTGGTGGGTGCGGTCCTGTGAGTAGATGGAGAGGAAGCCAGCCCATGGAAAGACGAGCTCAGTGGCCTGGGGTCTGCTAGCCCTGGACAGCTGGAGTTGGGAGTTGAGCCCAGATGGCCAAAAGGTATGTGGGCTTCAGCTCTACCCCGAAAAGCTAAGTCTCCATTGTCTGGGAGAAGAAAGGGTTTTGAACACTTTTCCAAACATTCCGCAGCCCCCTGGTGAATGTGAAGGTAGACCGGTCATTTGTTCATTCATTCTCTCGTTCAACAAACCCTTTGGAGGGTCTGTTAGGGACAAGATCTGTGCCAGGCCCTGCAGACGTGGGCCTCTGCCCCTCAGCTCTCTGGGAGACTGCCTGTTAAAGGAGTCACAATAATCAGAAGTTGAGGACAGTCGGGGGGCTATTAGTGCACTCTTAAGGGCAGGGCCTGCTCTGGCTCTCCTCCCCTCACCCCCTAGTTCAGGATTAGGAAGTGAAGGTCCGAGAGAGCTCCGGGACAGCGTGAGAACAAAGTGGACCATGCATTTTGGGTCCCCATCTGAGGGGACTCTCTTAGCCACGCTTTCTCAATCTCTGCGTCAGTGACCATTCAGGCCGGGCAGTTCATGGTGGCGGGGAACTTGTAGGACCCTGTGCACTGCAGGGTGTTTAACAGCCTCCCTGGCCTCTGTTCAGCAGGGGCCAGTACCACCTTCCCTCCACCACTCCCCAGTACTGACAATTAAGAATGTCTGCAGATATTGCCTATAGTCCCCGAGGGATAGAATCATCCCCGGTTGAGAAACATTGACCCAGAAGAGGGGCTAGTATATGGGGGACACGCATCAAATACTTGTTGAGTGTTCATGCTGGGGCAGCCCACTCTGCGGGATGGGGGTTACTGGGTCCCAGAGTCGGTGGTAGCGGTGGGTGCTGCGTCTTGATCTGGATGCCAGAGAGAGGAGGAAACTGGAGCCCTGGGGGCTGGGTAAGCACGGCCCAGCCATTCAGGTCAGTGGTACATCAGAGAGGGGATAGGTAGCACCCATCAGATGGACGGTGTGGGAGCATTTCCACGTCTCAGCACAGTCTTCGTTGCTTTTTGCTTACACGGTTCTAGCACTGGCGGACAGTGTTAGAAAATTAGATGCTTTGTCTCTTCACCCCGTACAAACCCCTGTGCAAATTAGTGAGCAGACGTCTGCTTGGCGATGAGTCACTGACAAGCATGTCAAGTCTGGTTGTGGCTGTAAATATTTATTATGCACCTGTTGCCTGCCCAGCAGCACCTGCAAGTCCAGAGGGCATGAAGAAAAAGAGAAAAGAAAAAGGAAGGCCCTCCCGGCTAAGCACGGGTACTTTCCTTCCTGTACGTCCCCAGAGTCCTGGGTCCCTAACTCTGTTATGACGCTAACATCTCTCTCAAGCGTGAGTTCTCTGAAGTCAGGAAGCAAGTTATTATTCAGAGTGGGACCCGCGAGTGTCTAACAAAACAAGGTCCGCTGACTGAGTGAGTGGGTGGATGGAGTATCAGAGCCAAAAAAGAGGAAGCGTGTCAGTTCTGTCAGAGAGACTCCCTCTTAGGGACTGTGGGGGACGGAGCTCTGTCAGCGTGGGACTTCACATGCTTCATTCCTGTTGCCCTGTGGGCGTGAGATGAGCCACTGTTTCTTCCCCTGCAACGGTGGGAACGCGGATGCCTCCCAGAGATTGTGAGTGGACGAGTTGAGATGCGTGCAGGCACACAGTGGGTACTGAGAACAGAAAATAAAAGCCGGGACAAGGGATTCAACAGGCCATCTTCGCTGCCTGGGGGTCCCCTCTCGGGCAGCAGGATGTCATTGTGAGTGGCCCCATCTGCCTGGCCAGGGCCCAGAGCCCCACCCTCCCCCCCCCCCGCCCCCCCGCCAGCAGCCCCTCCTGACACCTTCTCACCCCCCAGGTGCCGTGTTACTCCTACGGGCAGAAGCTGTCCAAACTGGCCATCCTGAGAATCGCCTGTAACTACATCCTGTCCCTGGCGCGGCTGGCAGACCTCGACTACAGCGCCGACCACAGTAACCTCAGCTTCTCCGAGTGCGTGCAGCGCTGCACCCGCACCCTGCAAGCCGAGGGACGCGCCAAGAAGCGCAAGGTACGTGCCAGCAGCCACTCGGCAACCTCCCGAATGGGGCGGGAGAGGTGGCAGCGGAAGTTGGGCATTCTGCTCTCACCCAGGCTTCTGATGGGGCCAGCAAGGTCAGCCTCCTGGAGGTTTGCTGGGGGTCGCTCCCTGGGATTACAGGGGTGACCCTACTCCTGGTCATGGGGCTGTCGGGTACCTTGCACAGTCACCCCGGGCCTCTGGGTCTGGGTGTGCTCCCTTCATGGGGAAGGTGGTAGGTCTGGAGCTCTTTTTTGTTTTTCCGTGCTCTGGTGCCGATGTACCCAGGCGGCCCCTGATAGATGTTGTATCAGAATGAGCCACACTAAGCTCCCCTGAGCCGGGTCACAGGACTGGAGAGCTCTTCAGCACGTTTGGGAGTATGACTTGGCCTGGGGATTGCCTGCGGCCGTGCATTAAGGCGAGTGACGTTTGTAATTCATTCTTTCATTCTGGAGAGATTTGCTGATCCCCAGCCCTGTACCAAGCATGCCAGACAGGACTATAAAGGTGACAAATGTGGTCCCAGGGCCCATGAAGCTCACAGGATGGTCGGAGTCATTCTTCTGTCAGTGGATACAGGTGGCAGAGTATGACAGGATAGTCTCAGAGGTCTGGGCTAAGGGCGGTGGAAGGCCAGGTGGAGGAGGGAGAGCTTACTTCTGCTGCCCAAGGGGGTTTGAAAGTGCATCTTAGGGTAAGAGGTCTTTGATCTGGGCCCAGAAGGACAACCAGGAGGTCACTGGGAAGATGAAGCAGGGCCTAGCATCCGAGACAGAGGAACCAGCCTGCATGAAGCTCGATGTGTTTGGAGAAGGATGTGCGGGAGGAAGGGTGGTGGGCCCAGCTATGGCCCCTGAATGGCCTGTGCTCCCCTGCCTTTCCATTTGGGGGTCCGTGCCAGGCAGTACTGAGCAAGGCTTACGGCAACCCTCTGGATCTCTGTTCCTGCAGGGCCAGGGGAAGAGACACAGAGGGTGGGACCCCGTCTGTGTCCATGAGGTGGATGGAGGCTGGGGGAGATGCCTGCCCCCCTGGCCATCCAGGGCTGGAGAGGGTGGGGGAGCCCAGTGACTGGCATCCTCCATCCTTCCTTCCTGGCCTGCCTCTCCCTCTCATCCCTGACATTCCCCGCCTAGCCCCCACCTTGCCAGCAGGCTCTCTCTGGGTTCCCCAGGTTTCCCAGAGACCTCTGGGCCCAGAGCCAGGAAGGCCTTCCCATGGACTGTCCTGCCTCCGCCAGGGAGGGCCCCACTCTGTCCCCCCTGCCAGCCAGCCACTGCCGCTACTGCAGTAATTGTACGTTGCATTCCTGGGAGTGATTTAACGTGGACCAATTAGATGAAATCCTCATCAAGTGGGTGAGAGAGGAAGCGCCACTGGCTGCTGGCAGGACCGCTTTCCTCTGGAAAGTGACACGGGTAAATTAAGGGCGTGATTGATGGCTCCATGCAGGGCTCTGTGACAAAGGAGGTTTGTAAACTCTGGGTGAACTTCCCGTGGCATTGGGGCAGCCCGGAGGTGTGGATGGGCAGGGTGGGCAGGCGCCCGTTTGCTCCAAATCCACCTCTCATCCCCTTCCCTCCCCCACCCCGTGTGTCCCCCACTCACGCACCAAGACGGGAGGGCCGGCCCTTCCCTTCCCTGTTCCTTGATTGGAGCCCATTGGAGTCCTGGGCTGCGGAGGATGGGAGGGGAGCGGGGTGGAGATGCCAAACGGAGATGAGCTCATGGCTTCCCCTCAAATCCCCTCAGATCTGAGACACGTTAGAGACCATTGTGTCCAACCCCCCATCGCCCTGATTGGGAGAGTGAGGTGGCAGGTTGTGGTTTGTTGCTGATAAGTGGGCACCGTGGGAACCTCATCAGTGATTTCTCAGGCTCTTTCCAGCCTCTGTGTCCAAGTGGAGGTTTTGCCTCACCTCAGAAGAGCAGGGGACCGCTGGTACCCTGCATCCCCTCCTGCTGTGTGGTGGACCCGGGGCTGCTGTCCCCCAGCAGCTGTGTCTGTAGTCAGCACTGCCGGGAGGATGTAGATGGCCAGGGTCCTGGAGGTGCCAGGACATCCAAGGACCTGTCCTGCCCTCGCGTTCTGCCCTGGCTGGTGGGGGGGCAGTTCACAGGGCCACCCCTGTTTCTGTGGCTTGTATTTTCCTGCATGTCTGTCGCCATGCACGTAGGTGAGTCCTGAGGTGTCCTCGGGGAGGGTCTCCAGTGACCTGCCCAGTGGCCCTGAGTGGCTGGGGCAGGCCCCCGTTTTGTTCATCGGAATCAGGGGGGCTGGTGCCCCTGGAGATACCCTGATGATTCGTTCATTCAGTGTTTATTGAGCATGTGGAGTGAGCTCCGAACGGGGACTTCACCCTCCGCAGTCCCTGTAGAGGGATGGTTTAGGGGCTGAGATCAAGTCTCTGTCCCCCTCCCCCATGGCCACTGCGGGTTTGGGGATAGGAGTGAGCCAGGCTTACATCCTAAAGAGAGAGGGAGAAAGAAGGCAAAGAAGGGAAGAAACTAGAGATCGCATGCCAGGGTAAGTGAGTGGCTCAGAGGAGGTCCTCTGTAAATGGCAGCTGTGACGATGGTGACCCTCACCAGCACGACCTATAGCAATTTCAGCCATTCCCCTCAATGGCGCCCTCACAGTGAATGTGAACCCGAGGCTGGGCGACCCTTTCTTGGGATACCTCCATGAGAGACAGCGCACAGTGTCCTCTAAGATCCCTTGTATCTCTAATGAGCTGCCTTGACGCCCCCCACCCTCCCCAAACCTGTGTTAGGAATGGGATATAAAGTGAATTCCCCCCGCCCCCGTCAGGCCCCATCTCAGCCCTTCCCTGGCAGGGCTGGAGACCTGCATCCCTTGACCAGTGGGTCCTCTGTCTCTGGGCCTCCCAGGACACAACTTTGAGGGCTCAGAGCCTCGTTAGGGAGCCAGGTCGTGCAGGGAGGCCCATGTCAGAGGCCGCCCAGCCCAGGGATGGGGGCAGGGGCAGGGGCAGGGGGGGGCGGGGGGAGTGGATGGGCCCTGGAGAGCTCAGTTCTGACTCTGCTGTAGCTGAGATAATGCACGCTAAGCACCTGGCTCTGGGCCATGTTTCTGCAGCTCCTGTTTTTAAAGCAGCAACTCCTGGGAGCTTTGGAGGAGGAGGAGAAAGAGGAAGAACAGCAGGACTGTTTCACACCTGGGCTGGGGGGGCCTTGCCAGACCTGCAGAATAGCAAGGGACCAGTCTCCCACAATCCGGGGTGCTCCTTTCCAGCCACTTTAACCCCTGGAGTACTAACCAGAGGAAAATAACAGCTACTGACATTGACGGCATAGTTTCGACCCTGGTGCTAGATGGCCAGCAGCAAGTCCCTGCCTTTGGGTTGTGTGCAGGCCATTTGGGGACGGGGAGAGAAAAAAAATGTCCTGATACACTGAGTGAAGGGCTCTTCCGGAAGCCTGGATGGTGACTGGGCATCCCCCGGGGCTGTGCCGGCTGGGGGGGTGGGACTGGCTCTGCGAGGCTGGGTGGCTGGGCCTGGTGGTTCCTGCTGTGTATGTGGACCGTGCCCAAGCCCCAGAGCACAGGAGGCAGAGTCTCAAGGGCTCCTGCTCTGGCTGGATCCAATAATCTGTGTGCAGGGCCTTCTGTGTCCCCAGAGTGTCCACTGAGGGGCACTGTCCTGGCTCTGCCCCCACCCACATGACCATGGTCACCCCTGCTGGGGCCTCCGTGTCCACTTCTGTAAGGTGGCTTACAGAACCTTACAGGCCCTTTGGGGTCGGGCTTTTCCTGTTTAATGACTGTCCGAATGACCAAACGTGTCGCTCTTACTTTCCCTGTGCCCTGCCGGGTGTTTCACACAGACCTGAGAGTTGCTCCCAGAGACTGCTGGGACCCCCAAGCAGTGCGTCCCAAGAACACTGATGATACCTGAGTTTCTCAGAGCCTGGATTACATGCTGGGCACGGAGCTTAGGTCTTGTGATGGGTTGCCTGTGCCTTCCCGCCAAGTCTGCGAGGTGGGCACCGGGGCTGTCCCATTGTCCAGATAACAAAGCTGAGGTTCAGAGGCCTGAGGAGCTTGACCAAGGTCCCTTAGCCGGTGAGAGAGGCGTGCGGGGGGCCTGCCCTTCCCTGTCCTGCCTCCCACATGGACGTGGGTGCATGAGAAGAGGTTCTCTTTCCACATCCTCCTGGCGAAGTTACTGTGTTAAATACCATTTGCCTTCAAAGCCTATAGAGTCCATCTATGCTGGGATAAAAGGGGGGTGGGTGGGAAACCACCATCAAATTCCTAGTCATAAAAATGGATGCAATTTATTTTTTCTGGCATTCCAATTACAGAGACGTTTGTCGCCAGCTGTTTGCTCTAACACAGAGTGTTCTCTCAGCTGCCGCTTCTCCTCTCACATTTGACATCATTAGTCCACAAGTCTGGCAGGGACTGGGTTGGAGAGATCATTGGCTGGGGAGCCTCACAGGTGAGCTCAGAGCCAGCTCTCCCCAGAAGGCAGAACTCGGCCCTCTGGAGTTCCCCAGTGGTTCCCGGGTAGGGTAGAGGTGAGGCGCTGCTTTCCTCTCTCCTCTCACACTCTCTTCACCCCGCTCCTGTCCCCTTCTCCAAATTGCGCCCCTCCTGACATGCACTCACAGATCCCTCCCTTCTCCCCACAGCAAGGAAGAACCAGAGCCACAGAGCATGGGAAGCCCCCTCTGATTTGCTAACGTATCACTCTTTGCGATCCAAAGACCCTTCAGAGAACCCTTTCCCTCCAGAGCACCCCTTTGAGCCAGGGTGGTCCTCTGGAAATCCCTGCATAGGCTCGGTGACCCTTAGTCCAGGACACTGGAAAAAGGGTGTCTGTGTAGTTGCGGGTTGAGTTGAACCCTACCATTCCTGCAATTCTCCGTGGTGCTGGCATTTAACTCTAAGGCACATGAAAGCATGCATGACAAGCAAGACTGTGAAGTAGGAGAAGTAGAGAGCTTTGGAGCCAGAGACC